GAGGGGCTGCGAAGCCGCGTTGGGTGGGCACACAGGCTGAAGAGAGCAGTACAACGCTCCGCTCAATCAGGATTATATTTTTATTCCTTTTGCGGGCAGCGGCCAGGCAAAGGTCATCGTGTGGGAGGTGCTGAGATATTTCAGCCTCCTCGGGGCTCGCCAGCAGAAGGGAGATCCCTTCCCGAGCTGCAGATTGGGCTGGGATCAGTGAGGCACCCAAGCTCTGAGCCCCGGGGCCACCCTGGGGCACTCTGCCTGCCCAAAGCTGCATCCAGCCCGCTGGAAAACTGCTGCCAGCGGCAGAGCGGGGGAAAAGCTGATGTGGCGCAGGGCGTGGGGTTCGGGTAAACGCGCACCGAATGCAAGAACTCGTCAGACAAGTCCAGTGTTTGCCTTGCAAGGGGATGGGTCGCGAAACGCTGGATTTCCACTCTAGATCCTGGGAGTCTATGAGCTCAGACTCGGGAGCCAAACAACCGTGTTTATATCCTGTTGGGAGCTTTGCTTGCTGGGAGCTGTGCGTGCTCTGTGCACAGGCAGGAAAACTTGATTCAGAGCACGCCTGGATTTGAATTGGCCGGCACACACGAAAGTTTCAGTCATTTTGTGATAAATTAAGTTTATTCTGGATTCAGCTTTTAGAGGATGTGGATGTGGATTTGCAAGTGCCTGATTAGCTGAAAAAGCCCACCAGGAAAAGGTCGCTTGTGGAAAAAATGTGAATAATGGGAGGGATGCCTCACACACCTGCACTCTATCCTCTGGCCTCAGTGGTTTGAGCCTGTTTTAAGCCAGGTTTACTGTATCAGCTAGTTCAGGCCTTTATGCTGGGAAGAGGCAAATAACACCAGGACAAGGATTCGCTGAGGCACCTGAGCTCTTGCTGGCTGACTCTTTGCACGCATAACAAAACGGGGAGTTAAGTGTTGCTCCTGTCCTGGGGCTGTTTTTCCCTGTTTGAGCTGCAGGCCAGGAATTGTGTTAAGCTGCAAAGCACTGGCAAATCGACCGAGCGATTCCTTCCTCTCTCCCAGCAAAGGGGGTGGCTCAGAGAGTTTTACTCATCTAATGCCCCAGCCTGAACAGTTCATGGGGCAGGGACCATTTCTGGAGAATCTGGTTGAGGTGCCGAGCGCTTCCACCTGTAGCTGCAGCAGCTCATTTCTTGTGGTACCACCCACAGAAACGTGCTGGGAACAAACCAGCATTTGGAGGTGGCGCGGTGGGCTTAGCACCGCTGCCCTCTGCAGTGCTCTGCTCTGTTTATCCCTGGTGATGTTTAAGCTGGATGAAGAAACTGGAATCTTACAGTCAATATTCCATGCGACGTTTCCGTGTAATAATATTGTGGGAGTGTTTGCCCTGAATCCAGTACACGCAGCCTTTCCTCGTGTTTTGGTTTCTTTCTGCCAGCTCATTTGCACTCAGAATTGTTCAGCCTCACACCCCCTTTTCCTTGTTTGTTGACCTTTCTTTTGCCCTCTAATGGACTTGCCAAACCAGCCTCCTAATACTCCTGCTCTTGTGTACAAACCAACCAAATAGTAAAACTGCGGCAGAAAAACATCTCTGAAATTCGGAGCCATTATTTAGCATCCGGCTAAAGCAAAGAAAGTTGGCTTTATGTTTCTGTAAAGAGGAGCAGAGATGACTTTTCTGAGACCTAGGTCACAATTAAACCACTGAAATCTATAATCAAATGAAAGAAACTCCACACTAATAATTTTCCTGATTGCACAGGGTGTAGTAACATGGAGATGACCCGGAGAGCACTCACGAGTGCCTGTGCGTAACGCATCTATGGCAGATGTCACAGTGGGAGTAAACTTGCCTGAACAGCAATCAGCCTCCGATGGGATTCCAGATTTGTAAGAGTCATGTGAAGAATGAGCAAAGACACTTCTGCTCTTGCACAACTGTCTGGGCTCATTGATAGCAGCGATGAGCAGGATTAAGGAGAGATGTCCTCGGCCACTGGCGTCACTGCTTCTACCGAAGGGCTTTAACGTTGAATTTGTTGCAGGGAAGTGAACCTTGTCCTGGTACTTGACATCCCAGCAGCTGACCAGGGATATGGGAGAACACTTTGGGTGTGTTCATGTATAGGCCCTACGCATGACAACAAAACTATGAGCAGAAAAAATAACCCTGGGGAGATGGCAAGTGAGATGTATTTTATTTTTTAGAGGGCTTTGACAGTCAGATAAAACTGCAGGACACAAGGATACACACTGCACCCAGGAGATGTTGAACACAGCAGATTTTAAGAAGGAAGGTTACTTGCCAGTCCCAGTTGTCGAGGGAGCTTATCCTTAGCACACTCATCTACACCCTGATGCCTCTTTGCCTCCAGGGAGCACCTGTGAAGGCTGTTTGGACTGTGCTGGCACCCTCACCCTAACTCACTCTTGAGCTCTCACCTGGCAAGGGGAAAGCCACCCGCTTTGAAGCGCATAGGAATCAAATCTGCTTCCTTAGCTCCCAGGGCAACATTGCCTGCTCCTCCTTGTAGCCTCAGCCAGGCTGTCACACTAGCAGTAGAAAAGGAATTTCTGAAATCAGTAGTGCTAATCATCTGCTTGTGCACCGCGTCCCTCCTTCACACAGGGCGAACACCCTGGCCCGATGCTGTCACACGGCAGCCCTTGTTCATTCAAAACTGGAATTCACCTGGAAACTCAGGGGTGCTGCTCCAGGCGTTCAGTGGGGCTGTTCGAGTGCTGCTTTTAGTCCTCGGAGAAGTTACATGGTTAGTTAACCAGTGCCATTAACTGGTAAATGTAGGAATACTTGATTAAATATTTGCTGGGAAACTAACACACTTTCTGGTTTTTATTACAGTTGTCTAACTGCCTGGGGACCCACACAGTACGATGGTGAGTGTGTGTGTTTTCTGTACCGTGCTGTGCCAGGCATTTGCTCTCATCAGATAAACGTGGGGAGTGTAGCTCAGATAAGGCCAGAGCAGGAACAACACTGTCCCTGTCACACACATCCTTTATGGGGGGTGCCTTTATGGCTTCTCTCTGCTTCCTCCTTCTAGAGAAAGACCCACAAATATGGGCTTGTCTGTTTGGGGAGTTAATGGAAAATCCAATCAGATACTAGTTCAAAGAGCATTAATTTCGCTGGGTAAACTTCCTGGGCATGTTGTTCGTTCCAGATTCAACCTGCAAGGTAGTTTCACAGAATGTATCACAGGATTTTGGGGCTGGGAGGGACCTCTGGAGCTCACCCAGTGCCACCCCCTGCCCGAGCAGGGTCACCCAGGGCAGCCCCACAGGAACGCGTCCAGGCGGGTTGGAAAGTCTCCAGAGCAGGAGACTCCACACCCTCTCTGGTTCAAGTCCCTTCATCATCCTCGTAGCTCTCTGTTGGGCTCTCAGAGTCCAACGGAGAGCTACGAGGATGATGAAGGGAGTAGGTCCCAAGGAGACTGCACACGCTCTCTGGGCAGCCTGGGCCAGGGCTCCGTTACCCTCACAACAACGTTTCTTACATTTAGCCCAAACCTCTTGTTTTCCTTGTCCTTGAACTGGGGGTGCTCTCTCTTGTGCCTGCTTCCAAAGCCTACACGGATGCCAAGGGGCGTTTTGCTGATGATTTTCTTGGGGATGGCTTTGTAAGAGATCTGTGTAGTCCCACAGAAACTGCACTGGACAGGAGGCAGGAGAAACCTGTTTGTGAAACGCTGTTTTGAGTAAACACTGCCCTTCCTGGTGCACCGTTGTACAGAATGATAGCCCCTGGCTGGTTTGAGAGCAGGCAGGGATGGAGCTTTGGGAACACTTTTTGGAATACTGCTGGGAAGAAGCCGCAGCTGGACTGAACAGAGCTGTGAGGCTGCTTGCCATTATTTACCTGGAAGCGAGATACTTGGTTGGCAGCTATCTGAAGATATTTTCCTCTTCTAGTTGTGTCCCTGTGTTTTATTTCTTCTGTGGCTGAGAAGTTAGAACAAGCTGTTTCTCTTTAGGGTAGGATGGAAGCCTGGCATAAAATCATTCCTGTTAGATGGGCGGACTTGACTTGCTATCGCTGTATTTGCATCTTTTGAAGTATTTTCTTTTTAATTCACCTTTACTGTATGTGTGTGTCACTGGGTCTGCCTTTGATAACTCCTCTTCCCTGTGTTTAGGCAACCATCAAGGGGGTCTCGAGTTTCAGTGCTGAGCAAGAGGCCCAGGCGCTGAGGAAGGCTATGAAGGGATTTGGTAAGTCAGTCTCCCTCCAGTGTTAAACACGCTTTTTTCACCCCCGAGCATCCAGAATGTTTTGCCTGCTGGTCTGCTAGAGGGGCAGTCTAGCCATTTGCATTGACCTGTGAGGGCGCTGAATGGAATCGAGCGACTTGGACCCATTGGAAATCCAAGTCTTGGCTACAAAAACGTCCGTGGCCAGGCTCTTGTCTCTCCGGCGATGTGGTGCTGCTATGATGCCGGCTGGGCTGAGGTCCCCAGTGCTGCTGAGAACCAGGTTGTGCAAGGAAGAGAAGGTGCTGAGAACCAGGTTGTGTAAGAAACAGAAGACAGCTAATGGCAGACAGTTTTGGGGTAGTACCACTTGGGTGCAATGTGAACAACACTCTAGTCTCCACGACAGTGAGGTTAGCACAAGCTTTCCCTGGCCAAGTTATTTTGGCCTCGTCCAGAGCGTGCGCCTGGTTCTGGTGCGGGCGGCCTGACCGGTTCCCATTGTTTTTTTTCCAGGCACAGATGAAGATGCCATCATCGAGATCTTGACCAAACTAAACGTTTCTCAGCGTCAGCAAGTTCTGATCACCTATAAAAGCACTATTGGAAGGGTAAGTGGGCTTCAGAGATTAGCAACTGTGGCATTCGCTGGGAGATGCCGACAACTTTTGGGTAATACCACTTGGGTGCAATGTGAACAACACCCTGGTCTCCACGACAGTGAGGTTAGCACAGGCTTTCCCTGGCCAAGTTATTTTGGTGTTCTTCTCCTCAGAGCAATGGTTCATTCAGAGGGGGCTGGACCATGAAGAAAAGCGGTGAAAGAGTTTGTTCTCCCAACTCCTTTCTCCTCTCTCCGTCTTCTAGGATTTGATTGATGACTTGAAGTCTGAGCTGAGTGGGAATTTTGAAAGGGTGATCATCGGTCTGATGACTCCTACCACCATGTACGACGTGCATGAACTGAGGAGGGCTATAAAGGTTCGGAAATCTTCCTTTTATGTTGCTTAAGTTCTGGCCAATTTAGATGATACAGCATAATTATACATTTATTATTAACATATATAGAATCATAGAATCCTAGAACAATTCAGGTTGGAAAAGCCCCTTGGGATCATCAAGTCCAACCATTGACCCTACACTACAAGGTCACCCCTAAACCACATCACCCAACCCCACATCTAACACCACTTGAACACCTCCAGGGATGGCGACTCAACCCCCTCCCCAGGCAGTCTGTTCCAGGGTCTGACCACTCCTTCCGTGAAGAATTTCTTCCTCATGTCCAGCCTAAACCTGCCCTGTTGCAACTTGCAACCCTTCCCCCTGGTTCTGTCCCTAATTCCCTGTGAGAAGAGACCAGCCCCAACCTCTCTACAATGTCCTTTCAAGCAATTGTAGAGCAGGATGAGATCCCCCCTCAGCCTTCTCTTGGTCAAACTGAACAGACCCAGCTCCCTCAGTCGCTCCTCACAAGGTCTGTTCTCCAGCCCTTCACCAGCTTTGTTGCCCTCCTCTGCCCTCGCTCCAACACCTCGAGATCTCTCCTGTACTGAGGTGCCCAAAACTGAAATATATAATCTAAAAAACCCAAATCCCAGTTGCACATCACAGCAGTTGCCATCCTGACCTTGGATCCTGCCTTTGCGATCCCCTAGGGCGCAGGAACGGACGAAGGTTGCCTGATCGAAATTCTGGCTTCTCGCACAAACGAAGAGATTCGGCGCATTAACGAGAACTACAAACTTCGTACGTAGCGCAAACGGCAAGCTGTTCTCACGCTGACTGAAAAGTCCCTTGTGTGTCTTCATGGTTATGTGAGGAGGAAGGAGAAAGCTCTGGTAGCCTTGAAATGTGACAAATGGGCCAGTACAGCTATTGCCACGTGTCCCGAGCTGATTAGAGCCCTGAGCACAGTTATGTACTTACGTGTTGTGGGCACGTGGTGCCCGGGCGGTGGACCTGTCACTAACAGATGTCACATGTGTGTGTGCTCTTGCTAGAATATGGCCGTACCCTTGAGGAGGACATTATCTCCGACACATCTTCCATGTTTCGAAGAGTCCTCGTGTCCCTCGCGACGGTAAGTCCAGGCTAAGGGACATGGGGGTGAATCTCCCCGTGGCTGATGTCCACGCCTCTCGCTTCAGGGCTGAGGTGTTTCAGGCTGGCTTTTATTTCACTTGTCTTGCGTTTTGCCTCGCCTGCGTTTCCCACCGAGCTTCTGCAGGCAGAGAGGTCGCACGCTAGGTAATGCCGTGTGCTCTTTTGAAAAGGACCCAGTTAAAGAGGATTGCTGCTCTTTCCAAAGGAAGTACCAATCACATCTGAGCCACATTTTGCTGTATTTCTAAGCTCCTGTTCAATGTCGACGATCACATTATGCACCTCCAGTAACTTATTCTGAATGGGGAATTTGCAGGACTTGCTTCCAGTAGTTGCTCTGGTGACAGAACTTTTTCATCCTTGTACCTCCGCAGGGAAACAGAGATGAGAGAACATACGTGGACGATGCCCTTGCTCAGCAAGATGCCCAGGTATGTAGAGATCTGCTTCCTTGCAAGAATTTTCTCTTCTTGCACATAGGATGCGTGGTGAAGCCCTGCTTTTTCTAGACCTTGGGGTTTTTCAAGGTAGAACAGTAAGCCTGAAGCTACACTAGACAGCAGCACCCTGGGTCGAGACCTGGGGCCTGTTCTCAGTTCAACCCTTTAGAGGAACCTCTTCTCTGTTCTGACCCAGCCGGTGAAAAGGGGACACTGGTTCTGGCCTTTGCAATCCTGAGCTGAGAGGTCTCGAGACAGGCTGGCTGTTTGGAAGGGGTGATGGCATTTTAGTTGAGAGTTGCTGCGCTTGGTTAGTATTTCTTGGAAAATACCTGGATCTAGATAAGCCACAGGCCAGCCGTGCTCAAGCACCGAGGAAATAAAAATCTCTTGTTGTGTACACCCAACCACAAAGATGGTTAAAGGGCTGGAGAACCTCTGCTGAGAGGACAGTCTAAGGGAGCAGGGGTTATTCAACTTGGAGAAGAGAAGGCTCTGGGCTGACTGAGTAGCAGCCTCCCAATCCACGGAAGGGGCTACAGGGAAGCTGGAGAAGGGCTTTTTATGGGGGCCTGTAGTGACAGGACAAGGGGCAATGGCCTGAAATGATTTAGATTAGATAAGGGAAGAAATTCTTCCCCCTGAGAGTGGTGAAGCTCTGGCACAGGTTGCCCAAGGAGGCTGTGGATGCTCCATCCCAGGAAGGTTTCACGGCCAGGTTGGACGGGGCTTGGAGCAACGTGGGCTGGTGGGAGAGAGGTGTCCCTGCCCAGGGCAGGGGCTGGAACGAGATGATCTTCAAGGTCTCTTCCAACCTGAACCATTCTATGATATTCTATGAATTCTCACTGAGCCTTCTTTTGTCTATTCATCTGCCAGTGCCTGTATGAAGCTGGGGAGAAGAGATGGGGAACGGATGAGGTACAATTCATGGCCATCCTCTGTACGCGGAACAGGTGTCACCTACTAAGAGGTAGGACCCTGGAATTTTTCCTTTGTTTGAGGACGATACTTTTGTAGAAGCTTCGTACTTGCTCATTAACTGGCTGTGAACTCTTCAGAGACAGCAGGTATCCCAGAGCTCAGACACGTTCACTTCTTTAAGGCCATTTTATTCCCTCCTGAGACAAAAAGGGACTTGAGAAAATCCTCAGTGCAACTGGCTCCAGCCCATAAATCAAAGCCAATGACATGTGACTCCCGCTGGGGCAGAGCTGAGCATTTAAACTGCCATCATGGAGCAGCAGCTCTTGAAAACGCTGGCAGTAGTGGTAGGCCAGTTAGCAAGACGGTTGATAATTAAAATGAATTATTTCTGCGGGACAGCCCTGGTTTAGCTCACAAAGTCACAATAACGGCACAATCTTCATACAGAGTATGAGGAGCTTGGTCTTGCCAAATGATCCCTGGTGGTTTTACACACTGCAGGCCCTGAAGCATCTCGTTCACTCTTTTTATCGCTTTTTTGACTCTTCCCCCTAGTTTTTGATGCTTACCAAGGGATTGCTAATAAGGACATAACAGACAGCATTAAATCTGAGATGTCGGGAGACCTTGAAGATGCTTTGTTAGCTGTGGGTGAGTGCCCTGCTCTTAAACTTTGTCTACAAAGTAATAAAAAAAAAAAGAGAGATTGTATCTTGCCCTGGCTGGCTGTTGACACAGCTCTAGGAGGCAGATACTGTTTTCAAGCTGCCGTGTTTTACTCTGAGGATACAATCGTGTGAGAAAGCTCTGGGTTTTATGATATTGTTTGCTTTCCAAAGTGATACAGCTGAGAGCTGCTCTCAGGAAGCATTAAAGCCTTAAAGAAAATATTACTGGGCGGTGGGCACAGAGACATCGATTGACAGGAGGTCGCTCCCTGCGGGCGTCTGTGTTGCTGGTTGTTGCAACTTGGCAGAGCAAACACCATCGCTGGGAAAGTGCTGTAAAGGTTTGGGAGACCTTCGCCTTCAGCTTTTATTGGCCTTAATTCTCTTGGTTTTGTCTCCCTTACAGTAAAGTGCATGAGAAATAAACCTGCATATTTTGCTGAACAGCTGTATAAATCCATGAAGGTAAAGAGCTTCTGGTGTGAGATTGCAATTTTATTTTTTCCCCCTGCATTTCCACGCTGGAGTCAGTAGAATGACAGCAATCATTAGATAAACTGCTGTTAATGGAGGAAAAAAAAACCAAACCAAGTAACTTTAGGCTTTTAAATGGAGCTTTTTTCCCTCAGGAAGCTCAGAGCAATACTCTTAGCGAGCTGCTGGCCGATCGCTCTGTTAATGCACAAATGCTCTGCTCAGGAACAGCTCCACGGGAGCCCAAGTGATAGAACCTTTGTGAGTCTCACTGATTTATCAACAATTCCTTGTAGTTGTACGTGGTTGGTTTCTTTCTCTAGGGCTTGGGAACAGATGACAACACGCTGATCCGAGTGATGGTGTCCCGCTCGGAGATCGATATGCTGGATATCAGAAGGGAATTCCTGACCATGTATGGGAAATCGCTCCACTCCTTCATTAAGGTACGCTTTTGGGGGTTGGAAACAAAGAGCTGGCTTTGCTAAGCAGCTCAAAGGAGGCAGGTCCCTGCTTGACACCTTCTAGGTATTCCAGAGGAGCTGGAATTAAGGAGACGTTACATTTATGTACTGAAAATGTTTCTGAATGTTCTCTGTTCTTAAATTGTCGAAGAGGATACAAATCCTACCCCAAATTGTACGTGCTGGGGAGAACCCGGCCTTCTATGGAGCTGTAAAACTAATTGTGTCCCTTTTTGACTTCCAGGGAGACTGCTCAGGAGACTACAGGAAAGTTCTGCTCCGACTCTGTGGAGGGGAGGATTAAAGGATGCCTGGTGTACTGCCTGGGTGATGGGAAGCAGTTGATCATAAGGATTTCTTTCTTTTTAATTGTTACCCAAATATCTTACTAATTGCTAAGAGCATTGACACGGGTTAGTTAATGCTCTGGTTAGCTAATGGCCATGCCGGTTGACCCTTTTGATACGCTTTTATGCTTGGAACACCCATTTGCCTACTAATTGGGCTAGCAAAGCCCATCTTAAACAGAATGCTGCAACCAAATATATAAAAGCTTAATTGTTTCCTGACAAGCAGTCCCTTTGCCATCGCGTTCACCAGCAAAACTTACCAACTGAAGCAAAGGGGGATGTAGAACGTGAGAGGCTGCAGAGGGAAAAATTAACCTCGTCAGTACACAGGGAATGCAGGCTTGCTTCAGTTTGTGCAAGATTTCTCTGTATTTTAGTAATCACTTGTGTAAAACACAAGCACGTCTAGATCTTAGTTTGCCCTCTGTTAGTGTGGAGCATTAACAGCCTTGCTGCACTTTATATATGTAGGGAAGATGTCACTGGCGACACCAGAAAACACTTGTGTGGCCTTGGTTACGGGTCAGCTCCGTGCTCTTGGTCTGTCTTGCTTGACTCGTGGGGAGCATAAACCATCAGGGTTATACTACAGACCCTTCCTCTGGCTAAAATGATGTCATTAGAATGGTGCCTTTTAAGGAATGACCTGTCCCCAAAATACCCATCTCATTAGCACTGCCTGGTGCCTTAGGCTGGGGCGCCTTGTAGCGGGGTCCCTCACCCCGGGCTGGCAGGAGCCCCCTGTCCCACCACCCTTGGAGGGTCCCTCATTGTGCTTGTACCTGACCCCGACCAACACAGCAACCTCTGAAAAGGCTTTTCCCCCACACACCCCCGCCTGTTAAGATAAGTGTTGTTTTCACTACAAAAATGCGGCTCCTGGTTGGCCTAGCAATTATTGGGGTTTTTTTAGCGTAGAATCCTGTTTTGAAGGCATCAGACTGAGGTTAGAATCGGAAGGCACAAACACCAATACAGCCTACACCCAATTCCGTTGGTCACTTCCTTCTAAATTAGGTTGGATTCAATAGGAGATACTTCCGTGGCCTCAAAACAAAATGATTTTCTTTCATGCTCGCCATGCTGTAATTGGAGATACATTCCTTACTCTTGGTGGGAGCTACCAAAGCTGCCTGCTCAGTGAAAGAAAAACTCCCTCACCCACTACAACAGGCTCACGGATGTACTCAGGCCTGGGTTTGGGTTTAAACGCCTCGTGTGATGACTTTTTAAAAATACTTAAACAGTTTGTCTCCCTACCTTCTGCTGCCATTGTGTGTTCTGGGAGAGACGACGACCATGCCCGTGGGTTTTTCAATGACTTCTGGGCTCCCCAGGGGCTTTTTCTGGACCCGTAGCTGTGGTGGGAGGGATGCTGTGGAGGAAAGGGCTGGGGGTACCCCACGGCTGCTGCAGTTCCATTGCTGTTGCTGCCCCCCCTCAACAAACCGGGCATTGCCCTGGGAAGGGCAGTTCCTCTCCATCTCCCACCGCTGAGCAGGAGCAGGGCAGGGATTGTCCCCTGGACACGGCCCCTCGAGCACCGTGTTGGGTTTTGGG